TTGTTCGCTTTTCGGCACTTGACATTTAAATATTTGAACCAGTTCTCAAATACTTCTCAATTAAAATGCAATCGAGGTTACACATATATTAAACATGTCAGTCATATTAAACATGTACTAGTAATAAGCATGACGATCTCAAATGTGCGTTTCATTGATCTTTATCAATCAAACTCACATTCAAATTACATCGTAAGTACATAGTACTACTAAAAATTAATTATTAATGATGATATTAACCTTAATTTTTTTTGTACCTAAAATAAGTGTTATTCATTCAAAAATGTTATTGTCTATTCACAGATCATTTATTAAGACGTAAGAATATCAAATTAAAGCTAACAGTTTCTATTAGAAATAAATTGTATCTCTAAAAAAGCATATTTTCGTTCACCAAAATGCAAAATACAAGTGCTATCTCACTACTTGAAGAAATTACACAATCTTCAAAATATAAAAGTCAAATATGACGGAGTATTGAAGTGGTTTAAGATTAACAAATAATAAATTAAAAAAAAATAAATAAAACGGTTAGCCTTTAAGGACTTGGTCGTGTACACATCACAGAACACTCTAAATTCAAGAATGCTTGGTACTTTCCAAAAGTTACAGTCAGCAGGAATGGTAATTGTTAGGTTGACAATGTTCATGTGTGCACCACCAAATTTATGCTTGGCAATGGGTTCAAATCCTAGTGTCCTGCAAGAGCACTCTTAACTTATTATTTGTGCTAGACAACGATCTCTTATTTCTGTCTTATATGCGGCAAATATTGTCTACATTTGCAAAGCATTCCTTATTAAATGGGGATTAAAATATCTTGTGAAATGTCAAATACCTTTCTATTCCCTTTCAAAGTTACATACATGCCTCTTGAAAATGCTACTAATATAACGAAATTAAGATATTTGAAATCACTACCATTTTAGGTCTGGGAAGTTACAACTACAATTTTACTTCGACAAGAGCAGTTGTACGTTCGGACAATGCGACTACCAAAAATGTATCAATTTCTAATTTTTCATAGCCAACCGTTGATTCAAAGGTTTAAAAATAGAACTGATGCTCTGAAATATTAAACTAGATGAGGTCACCTTGTTCCATTTCATTGATCGAATTTCAATACGGTAAGTATGCAAACCCTTTCAAAAGCGACTGATATAATTAAATTTACCGCTAACAAGGAAAATCCATTGTTACTTTCTAACTTCACCGTTCAGCTTCCTATTACTGCGCTGTACTTTATTAAATTAACCAAAATTAAATAAATGAGAAAAAGATTTAAATTCGTCAGTTTACAAAGTAATGTTAAGTTTACTAATATATTTTATAGTTTTATCAAATTTGTGGTAATACCACGCATCGGTGTTCGCTGCTACATGAATGGGCAAGTCCGACATTGCAAATATAATGTATTTTATTATATGTTTCTTGAGACGTCATAAAATAAAAAGTATTTTACCGGCTTTAATAAATCTTTCATAACAAAGTTAGGTAGCAAATAAGGCGGTGTGAAAGGAGTTGGCGCCGTCAATTAAGATATTTAATTGTCCAAAAGTTACGATTTGCCATTAAGTCGTGGCTTCCTCTTCGAAGAAAGTTCCTTTGCTTCTCGACTCTGTATTAATTTTAAAACTTTAAGTGGCACTTACTATTCTATCCGGCAAGTTGCGCTTTTTAGAAATTATAGACGTCGATTTGTAAATTTACCATATTGTGTACTTTTAGTAAATTATTTATTGCGAGTCGAACTCGCGCACGGAGGGCTCCGTACCATTATCTAAAACGGCAGAAAAAGGTTCATAAGGCAAAGCCTGGTGACAGATGACAGACATTTAGACATTCAGACAGACAGATAGGCAGACAGACAGACGGACGGACAGACGACGTCTTAGGGTTTCTGTTTTACGAGTTCGGGTACGGAATCCTAAAAACTATCACGAAATCTATCGTCAACGCATGTTTGAAAACAACAAATTTCGCATGGATGAAATTGCTGATTATTATAAATACAAATATTAAAAAAATTCAAAAGTGCATATTTCAAAATTTAGGAGTTAAAGAGTTTTAGACGGAAATGACAAAGTCAACCCACTAATAGGTTTAATTTGAATCCGTACCAATAAGAAGTATAGGTACAATACAATAAATAATAAAGTACAGTCCAAAAATATTATCAAAATATGTAGAAAAGTAAATTAATTAATAAATTGTAACGAAATATATTAAATGTATCGAAGTAATTATTATTAGAATATTCTTATTGTTATATCTCACCACGACTTGTCTCGATCACTTGAAAGGAGCTGAAATTTAATAGGACTAAGGAATTGAGTGCTTTTTGTTGTTTTGAACAAACTATTCCGAGAAGAAAATTTCTGTCATTGAAATTTCTGTTATCGTATTATTAACATATTTTAAGAAAAAACTGTTATAGTTTCTTAATATTATTTTTTAGTAAAATATCTTCTTTGTAAAGTAGATGTAATTGATATCACATTGATGTAGATAAATTCTAGCCTATATTGATTTCTGCTTGACTCGGTGTTAGATCTCGCCTTTTGAATTGAAACTTTAGAGATATTTAAAATCTTATAGTATATTTTTGGAATCAGATTTTGTTCAAAAAATTATTTAAATTTTGTTAGGCTGTAGAATATTAGAATTAAATTTTGTTAGGCAGAACAATATTAGGAAAAGGAACTTTATCTATTCAAATAAATAAAACTCTATCATTTATAAATGATTATAAAATGATACCTATTACTTTTAAAGTAGAGACTTTAAAAGTAGTAGGTATATAAAATGATTATAGATTATTATAAAATGATATCAGATTTTTATATTAACTTAATTCTTTTGTAACTAATTGCGTTAAAAGATTTATAAACAATTTATTGAGGCCATTTAAAATTCAAATCCACAGAATAGGAACAAAAGAAATATATTTCGATGATATGTGAAGTCCGCCAATCCGCAGTGGGGCCGCGTGGTGAACTACGCCCTGATACCCTCTGTATAGAGCTTTTGCCCAGCAGTGGGACATGTATAGGCTGTTACTTAATTTTACAGAATAGAAAATAATATGAATCCTGTCTTTTTTTATTATTTCATAGAAACTTTTATAAATATACAATTCAGAAGAACAGTAACTAAATAAAAAATAAAAGCAATCATGCAAGCAATTAACCAGTTCGACTTTACAAATAAGTTTAAAATTAAAGAGGTGACTCGGGAAACTAATACTAATAATTTTTTTATTAAATAAATTAATTTCTTCTTACAATATTTAGGTAAGAAAACAATTATTTTAAATACACTTATTAAATTCACACTAAAGTGTTCCTCTTACAATAACTTAATAATCACACAAGATGAAACGGAAAATATGAAATATGAACTTCTTGTAGAAAATTTGTCGAAAAACTTTTTTTTCAACGCTGCAGGATTCGAAACAGTGTTTTCGATTTCGGTACCTCAATCGCGCCATAGTGGATTGGAACTCGTTAAAAGTTATTAAGGCCAATTAAAGTGCAATTTGATTTTGAGTGCCTTACAGAGTTACTTGGCATTGGCGAATATTTTTTTTTATTTTTTTATTAACAATCAATGTGTTCACAGTTCAAACAGTTCAAGTCCTGAAACCATTATGGAATTGCAGCACATATACTATGGCAATGTATTTGACAAGTCATTAGAGTATGTGGTCGCCTTGACGTAAGTTTAATTTCACGCAGCCCCACTGCGGTTTAGCCGACTAATCATATGTACGAATTATTTATTTTAGTCATTATTTCGAAAATATGAGATTTCCTCGCGATGTTTTTCATCTCCGCTGAGCACGTGATTAACAATTTCACTGACAGCCAGCTATCACGGCTCCAAATTGAGGAGAAAATATAACTATTTATTTTATAATTTATTTTGCTTTGCTCCACTTAATATTGTGGAATTTGACAACGGCTGATTAAACGTCACCAAAATTTCTACCGGCACGCTACCAGGAAAACGCAAGTTTGAATCTCGGTGGGTCGAAAAAAAATTTCGACCCACCGAAATAGTTTTCTACAAAAAATTCAGATTTTAATAAAAATTGTTTTAATGGTTGATAGCGTGTAACTGCTTACTCCCGTAAGAATATGTAGATAAAACTGTTTGATAACTTTAATTAATCAGCGAATTCGATATGTAGCTATGAGCTAATAAAATCAACATACAAACTATTATACTCCATGAGTGTGTGGGCCTTTATGTCAGATCTTTAGTATGTGACTATGGCTTCGCGACTGGCTTCTTAAATATTCTTTAGAAATGCAAAATATTTCATGAGTACATTAAAATTAAACAAGAGCGGCGAGTAATTAAGCTATTGAAAAGAAGAAAAATCTTTTAGAAGATTTTAAAACCCAGTAAAAGTAAAGCCGGTGCAAATTTGTTTTAATTCTATTCAACAAATAGTTGGCAACGTGAACACTAATATTAAAAGTTGTTCAATATGTTTGTAATTTGTAATGCAGGTAGAAGATATTTTTATTACTTATTCAAAACTATATTATTCTTCAGCGACATAGTTATTTAAATTAAATGACTATTGAAACTATCTCTATCTCCATATTTGTATAATAAGTTATAATTACTACTAAAATTTTGGAATTATTAATAATTGCCACATTAACTTTGTCAACCGTAACTTAAAATAATGTCATATTGAACAGAAATGTGTATTATTAAGGTATTTTTATTTACATGTAGAACAAAATATGATGAAAGTGTAATACATATTTCATTGTTATATTCGAGCGAAGCCGAGGCACGCAGATAGTTGCTAAATGACACAGACATTGTATACTGATAATTTAAATGTCATACGAATGGCTGGCTGGCAATGGCAGTAAGCATAAAGTAATACTATTGGCAGTAAGAGACGCGACACCGACGCGTTCGCACAGATTAAATAGTAACGTTTAATGCCTTATTTAGTTTTAAAAGGATAGTGAAAAATGGACTCCCTCGACAACAAAGCAGGTGAGTTAAGCATTAGGTAGAAAATACTAAAATAATTCCTTTCATCATTATTCTTTCTGCTAGGTCTCAAAGTAATCTGTTTGCTCCACACACACAAATATTTTGTGTTGAAAGTAAGTAGGTTTTTCTAGTGTCTGAGTGTTCATATATCTGTAATATGTAATTTATTTAAAAAAGAAAAGTAAGTTTAAGTATGCTTGTCAGTTGCCTAACACCTAATAGAAATAATAGAAGAAGTTTTTCTCATTTTAGAAGGAGATAATGTTGTGTAAAAAAAACTTGTCTTGAAAAATGACCTTGGATTTCTTTAGAACAAGTTGAATATTATGTTGGCTCAAACATAAAGGAATATGGCCATTGTATAATTATCGATATTGTTCATTTTAGGTTGTGAGTTAATTTTGATAACTCCCAGCAAGATAGGCATCCTTTAGCATTTCGGCCGTTGACCTTTAAATGTAACGTTGATAGCTAGCATTTGTTTACCAACATTTAAATTTTATCATTATGATCATTTAAAGAAGTAGGTATTTTTAAAATAAGTAAACACAGTAAAAGTCGCGTGCTATTATTATAATAAGAGAGGAATGTTGTTTTGTAACTAGCGAGCATAAATATGCAAAGGGAAATGCTAAAAAACATTTGTAACAGTCGATAAGTTTAAAGATGGTTAAGTTAATATGAATTTATTAGGGTCGATTTATACGAACAGTTTTGTTACAGTGATAGTTTCGGACAAGTATCGAATAGAATGTCTGTCTGCAACAACGTTCCCAGGTGCTTTGAGGGTAAGAAACAACTTATTTTAAGATATAACTATAGAATAAATTTTTGATTTGGGTGCTTGATCATTGTTAAATTATTTGCCAGCTGTAGAAAAAAATTGCACGAAAATAATTGACTGTTGCAAAAAACTTTAGTTCTTCTACCGTACTAACAGAGATTAATTAGCGCGTATTTATCATGGAATTCGTAAGATATTGGGATTTTTATTTATGCAAATAAACGTTGTGTTTATTGATCTATGTGATTGGAGGAATTAATAAGATAATATTTTTTTCTTCTATATATTTCGGAAAACATCACTTTCTCTCAGAACAGTATGTCACTGTAGGCTGTTATTAATTTCTGTTTGCGAACGAAAATGTTATCCACGTGCCTGTGTTATGTAAGAGAAAAGGGTTGTCATCAATTTTCATTACATCGCTATTGTAAGGTGATAAAAGAGGCGTTCTGTCAAGACGAGTACGTGAGCATTGGCAGCGAGGTGAACAAGAATCCGATCGCAGCCGAGGAATTGTTGGAGCTGTGTGCGGACGCGGCTTTGGACGGAGTGTCTTTAGTTGCGGTCACTTTGTCCACGGAGGAGGTTGTCGCAGTCGCTTTTAACAAAATACAGGTACCTACTCACAGCAAGTATTATTCATGAAATATGCCGTGGACTTCTCTTGGAAGTTTTAAATGTATTGCATTAATATTAGCAGTTAATTCTTCGTTATTAATAGTAGTTATTAGTGGTATTAGTTTTCGTTAGTAGTAACGCTTAATTTAGAAGAATAGGTATACAATAAATAATTAATGGTGTTATACAATAAATAATTCATTCATTATATTTAAGAACCGACAGTAAAAATATTACGTTACAGTTCTTTGTAAAGAATCAAAAATTTCTTTTTGTTAGATAATTAAAAAAAAACTTTTATTAGACATTTTTTTTCTTATTAGCACTTTCTTCGTGGAATTGAATGAATTGTATAGTACTCGTATTGCTTTTATTAATTTTATTTAAAACGTTTAATCCCTTAACAATATGGTCGATTGCTACAGGTTCAATCGACGAGTGAATCCGAGAAGCCATTTTTTGAAATATTTGCTGAAGAACGTTGCACCCAAGAATCGTCCCGCTCCTTGATTCAATTTATGGCAAATGTAGACGGAAGGTGCAATTTATTCGAAAAGTAAATAGTCTGAAACATATCTAATCATTTTTGATATTAACATTGTCTTGTGCAGTATTATTTTAAACTGTTTTTATCTTTTCAGATATGGAGTGGATTGCAGCCTTGAAATTATGTTTTTAGCCACCCTACGCGAACATAGAAAGCAGAAGTTAGGAACGCTTTTATGTAAATACTCCGTAGAAATTGCTCGTAGGTTAAGGGACGGCCCCATCGCTGAAATAGCGGTACGAGATCTTGGACCCAACTATTCAATGATAAAATCGAGAGAACCGGTCGAAACTTACCCTAAAATTTGTCAAGCCATATGGACGTCTAAAGGATCGCAAAAGATTGGTGAAGCACTCAATTTTACTGTACACCTAACAGTGCCCCTCAAAGAATTTATTTTTGAAGGGAAGTCGTATTCTGAACGAATAGGGGATGACTCGGCGTTTTGTGAAGTAGTCGGCAAAGCACTTTATTAGGTAATCATTTAAATATAATGAAAACGCTACCTCCGTTAGATGCTTCCTCAAGATATTAAAAGCCTTAAAGTGGCTCGCGGATCAGCAGCCATTATAATTATGAAGGCGGTACTCGAGGAATAAAAACAGATGGAGGATCCAAGAGGAACCACGAGAGATATACCATTAGTTTATAAAAAAACTGCTTGATGCTGTGAATCAAATTATAGTTGAAAATTTGATATGAACAACCAAAGATTCTTTTATTCATACCATTCATTTTGTGAGTAGATAATACAATAATATAACATAAATTAATGACAGTATGACACGTATTAATATTTGGGAAGTCATTGTTTTTTATAACAATGATTTATTTAAAAACAGTAATTTTCCGAAAAACTAAAATTTTATCACGTCACTTATATAAAAATTTAATGCTTCCTTATATTTTAGAGTATTTATTATACGGTGATTTTTTTATATGCAGTACATACTTTGACATAATATTAATTGAGCATTCCATAATTAAAAAAAAAATATTAACCAGAAAAATATCAATTCAAACATTGTTTGTTTATCCCGTTAAGAGTGGTTACCCTATTGATAAGCGGTTTAGTAAATATGCGTTCAGCGAAAATTTTTAGTGCTCGTGAAGAGGTTATTGTATTGAGACGGTAAGGCAGGAATTTTTAAGGTGTCCATAATGTTTGAAATAAATATTTTTTTTACTAACTAAAACAAAACCGACTTCAAATATCTCGCTCTGCATTCATTTTATAATTGATTTGCAGGAGCTCCCTGAGTACCTCCGGAGCCCAAGATCCAATACCAATGAAATTAATATGGGACCACATGAGAAGCACTAGTTTTCAAATAAAAAAAGAATAATTAACATCGGTTCAATCAGTCAAAAGTTATGAGTTAACAAACATAAAAAAATACAGTCGAATTGAGAACCTCCTCCTTTTGAAGTTCTTAAGTTCTTTCCTTGAAAAAAAAAAAAATGAGGTCACAAATATATGCAGATTCAGATTTAGAATCAAATTCTACATATGCTCTGTTAATATGTTCGTCGTCTATAAAATCACCCTGTATATTCACATTGTTACAAATATGTCCGTGTTGATCCCGTGGCTATATTGTCCATGGCTTCAATCCCAGAGGCGTGCACCAAAAAGTGTAGAAGTATTGAAGAATTAAGTGTTTCGGAACTCGCGCGGTTTTGAAATCTGCGCGCTGGTCTCGAATTTACGCCCGGTTTATGGCAACATTGCATCATCATCATCATTAATTATCTTATTGCGACGATAGTTCGTAAAAAGTATTATCCTTGTCAACCCCGTTAGTCTGAGAGTGTGTCAGATCGTGTTTCGTTTCTTATATTCAAACAAGAAGTACCTACATAAGACTTTTATTTAATATTTTGTGATTTACATGTATGTATGATGTATGTAGTGTAGTACGAAAAAATTAGGCTCAATAGTTTTTATACCAGAACTTGAGAAAAGTAACTATCAAACATATAAAAAGAAAATAGGCAATATTCACAAATCATAAAGTAAAAATGTTTTATATAAAAATTCTAGTACAAATAGTACATAAGGGTATGAGCCATTTGGGACTGAATAGGATATTGAAAGGCATATTGTATTGAATAACACGATCATATGTTAGTGGCTTTTATGATCGTACTGTAATTGTAGCAAATAATCTACTTGTAAATATCCCATATCAAAAACACAATAAAATTCGTTGATTCGATATCGAGTAAGTTTAATCTTTGGATAACGTAAGGGTTACCCCTGAACACCCGTGTCGAAGGTTCGGATTTCTTATATTACCCTTTTTGGCGTCAATGCCATTGAATGCGGACCTTTTTCCGATCGTAACCGTTTATCGTTCCAAGGGCAAAAGAAACTGCCTTTGTGTTTTCATGTACATTTATGGCGTAAATATATACTTAGTAAGAAGTTCAGCTAGGGAATTTTTTTCACCAAGACAACGCGATTGCTCTCGCGGTCTCTAAATAGAGGTCCATCCAGCCAAATTTTAGCCCAAAGCCTTTTTATTTTATTCTGATCATGACAAAAATTAACAGTGTGTGAAAATTTTAGATCGCCGATGAGGGGGATTGTACATTATGACAATGATAAATTTCTATCATATGATTGCTGGTTTTATTATTAACCCATATTTCAGAACAGCGCTCATATTACGAAGTCGGTTAAAATACGTGACTCTGAGTTAAGACTTATCTTACAAGACTGTTTATATGGGGTCGATTTTCAGAAGAAAATTAAAGTCTCTTACTTAAGGTTTTCGGCAGCTTTTTAAATGTCACACTTGATGAAGTAATTAAACTGTATTTATAGACGCTAAGTTTACTATGATATTTTTGGCGCAGCAAAGATATAAAACTTCATAAAAAACAGATTACCTCCAATCCGAAAAAGAATTACATTCCAAAGAAAATAAATGTTATAAAGTGATAATTTTTATTTAACAAAATAGGAAAAAAGTGTTTTAAGTAATCTTTGCTTTATTTTAACCACATGCTTTGATTAGATTGCCCAAATTTATTGGCACAATCATAACTGACTAAAACATTTTTCTTCGTTTAATCTACTAACTTATTAAATTAATGCACTTTCACATACCTCATAAATGAAATAAAAGAAAAAACAACTGTACTGTGTAAAGCTTATAATATTGTTGCGATAAATGAGAGAAATGTATAGACTTAATGAAAAAGTTAATATTATCACGCATATTTTTAACATTTATCTCTAATAATTTGGCTGCTTCCAAAAACGTTCAAGTTTTATATCTCGAAACTGTAGTGACGTAACTTACACAACGACATGTTAAGATTTCTCTGGAGATGTACAACATACATGTCTTATTTATATGCAAAGCAGACGTACTGTAACGTAAACTGAAAAACATTGTTATTCTAAGGCACACTCAGGGGAAGAAGGATATCTGAACTAATACGATTTTACGCTTGATTCGACATAGCTATGCTACGAATTCAGAAACGATATACTTAGGTTTTGTTTTTAGCACATTTTTCCCTCGCTGAAGAGTTACTATGAGACAGCAAACACACAAACAAAAATCAACCAATACTAAAAAATTAACGCTAGAAATTGTTTTAACTTTGTTGATGCTGTAAATTAGATTGTGAAGATGTATATTTCACATTTACATCGCCTTTTTTTCTTCGAATAATTGCTTTTTTATCTCAAGAATTAGCAAGCGAGCAGACGATTCACCAATGGACATCAATTGGTTGCTGGACCGTAGGCAACGTATAAAAACAGTGGACCCCAGTTATCTAAATATCCAGATAAAATGAAGCGTAAGTACAATGTTACTTCTGTGAGAAAAAACAATATCAGCTTATTCTTTGAGCAATGAAGTCGTATATTCTTGTTTTTCTTACCGCCAAGGTAGAATACTGATGTATCCTTGATGATGTTCACGGCGCAGGGCGAAATTTTTCCCGAAATCTGTCAAAATGCTCCGATTATTCTTAGGCAAAGATTATTATGAAGCCTCTAGTTCCAAAATGATATTCTATTCTTAGAGCCCAGATCAAATAAGCCCAGAGATGAAGTAGACTTCATAGTTGTAAAAAGAAAATCCACGGGAGAGTATTAGTGTGGGCCGGTATCTAAGCCAAAAGTGAATATTTACTAAGAAAATATTGAAAATTCTATCTCTAAATATTGTACTTTTGAAGGTTAAAGAAAATTTTCATAAAAATGCCTTATTAGTCCGTGCGTGTTTGTATGCGCCCGAACTAAAGATTTTTATTTAGTGAAAGAGTAAAATATGTAACAGTGTTTAACTATAAATGGAACAACAAATAAAATCTTTATAAGAAGGTTCAGTTTCAACATTCAGCATCATTACCTGTAGTATACGCACGCACAAAATTGTCTACTTTAATTGCAAATACTACAAATACTATGTAATACAAATAACTCAAATATAATGATTTCAAAAAAATAATTAACCATTACTGGCTTTTAATTTATAAGATAAGTAAATAACCGAAACCTCAATAACCTATCTCAATAAGAATATGCGTTTTAAAGTAATCGCGTGCCCATATCGCCAAATTTTGAAATTGGATAAAGTGGGCCGATCGTTAATTCAAGTGTCAGCAAAATGGATAACGGCTCATTTCTAACTGACTGAATGAAAAATTGGAAAATCCAGACAATTTTTCCTTAAAAAGAGAATTTAATGTGCAATAATAAAATACTGTTATAGGGATACTTTATTAATTGAAATCTTAGCGATCGAGCCGTGATGGCTCGGATGCTCGACAGAATGCTAACTTTTAATTTTCACTCGTGAAATCTGAGTTAATAATTTACCACCTAGGCGGTGCACGAAAACATTACGCAGGAACCTATATATTTTAAAAATCCTGGATGACCAAGCTTTGATCTGGTTTTTTGTCTCACAAAAGAAGAAAATTGAAAAATCAACTGGATTCGAAATGGGGTGTTCTTGTTTCGGGACCGCCCGATTTCCCACCCGAGCTATTATAACCTAGTAGATGATGGCGCAATTTACACATCGTATTCTATTTATATTGCAGCAGTTTTACATTGCCTGAAAACACGGATAAAACGACGTTTTCTAAGAATGAAACCTAGCTAGATCGATTTATTGATGACTTCGTGTCGCAGTTGTCAAGGTATTGGCAAGGTAGAAAATCATAAAGTGCATGTTTATTCACAAACTATAGTATATCCTGAAAACTGTTTTAATGTAAAATGTATGCCGTAATGATATGCCGTTAGCAGAGCAACATGTTTGTCGCACAACAAAGGAGAACATCCCTCTCGTGCTGTGCATCAGTGTTTAAGACACGCATTAATTTCGTGCCCGCACCGTGTCTCCTGTCTCGGGCGGTTACCGGAACGAAATCCATTACAAACACGCTACTACCTAAAATAAATCTACTGAAGTTTATATGTTGAGTTGTTTAACTTATT